CTGCACGGACGAGGGGCACTGGCAGAGATCCATACAGCTCAGTGGTGTGGCAATGCCAGGCCGGCCAGGCAGAGGGCCCAGGGGACTAGCACCATTGGTCAAGTGGAAAAGGAAGTTTCCAAAACAACGTGGGTTCGAAGGCAGGTGAGTAAACACCAGGCCTGTGAAATGTCTCCACCTGGGCTTGAGCCCCACCCTGAGTATCCACAAGGCTGACAGTGGATGGGGGCACTGATGGCCCAGGCGCTGTCACAGAGAAGTGAGTGAGCCAGCTGTGTCACCCAGATGCCTGTGACAGGTGTGTGGCAAGTAACTTCAGGCAGGTAAGACAGAGTTTGTAGGACAGTCATGTAACCAGTGGGCAGAGCAGGTGTGTGTGACACGGGCAGGTACACCTGCACAGCAGACGTGGAGGAGGGTGCAGTGGTGCGGGACGATGGGAGTGACAGGTGAGTATGTGACAGGCACACCAACACCACTGATGAGCACTTCCCCCCCAAGTGCCAGATGTCTCAGGGTCACAGCCCCCCGAGTCCAGGGAGGTCTGGAGGGGCCTGATGTCCTTGGGGAGACTCTCAGGCCCTCTCTGCTCTCCAGGGTAACCCTCGTTGCAGGACAAGCAAGGGTACACCTGTGACACACACTCCCAGGCTTAGGGAGGACAGCCCAGCAGTGTCCTGAGGGCTGGAGAAGGAAGACGGAAGGGGAGAAGGCACGCTCCCGCTGTGCTTCCCTTGGGTTCTGCAGGTTCCCCAGGATCCCAGGCACTTCCCGGGCTCTATGTCCTCAGGAACCAGGGACCTCAGACTGGTGCTGCTACCCCAGGAGACAGTGCCACACAGAATTCCTCCCAGGATGGCTCAGGAAGAGGACCCCCATCTCCACCCCAGGTCATATGGCCCCTCCCATCTCTGAGCCCCCCACCAGGCCTGCTCTGAGCAGTCGCCCAGTCCCCAGAGCATGTGCACACACATCCCTCTCCCAGCCAGGTACTCACCACATCCACTCAGGGCGCACGCAGACCTGATGCCCACACACCACGTGGGGGCAAGTACTCCAGAGCTGCGCCCCGTGGAAGGTCACCAGCAACTGGGGCACTCCCCCCACGCCCAGACCTGTCCTCAGTCCCAATCCAAGGCCTTCCTGGAGCCCCTCACAGGCTGAGTCTACTACCCCACAGCCGCCACAGCCCTGGCCCCTCCCAGGGAACATCTGTTAACTAGAAGTGCACAGAGCTGGGGACCAGCCTCAGGATGGGGTGGAGGTGAGAGGAGATGGTGGTGAGTATAGCCCCACACACCACCGCACTCACTCTGACCACCACCGAGTCACTCCTTGGCCCACACTGCCCTCCAGACCCCTGCCACTGTGGATCTCCATGCCCAGCCCCTCCCAGGTCCCACAGATTACTGCCCCAACTGCCCATCCCTTCCCAGCCCCCTCCAAAGCAAGCCCTCAGGAGGCACTCAAGTCTACCTGCAGTTCAGGAAGTGCTCACCTGTGTGTCCTGGCCGAAGGGGGGCAGGAAGCACTGACCAGGAGGGGTCAGCACCACTCCTCCTACCCTAGGGCCGTGAGGGCACCCCATGCCCAAGACCACCCCCAGAAACCTCCGAGAGCCACCAGCCCAGCCAACATCACACACACACACACACACACCATAGCCTTTGCTCACTTACAGGAGGTGGGTCTTTCCTGTTTGTGGGCCAGGTCTCAGTGGGGCCCATGAGGCTGAGAACTCATCCAAATACTTCCAAATCACCTGCTCTGGGGGCACCCCGCCTTGTATAAGGTGGTGGGGGAAGGACCCCAGGTTCTGCTGGCCTCACTTAATTCAATCTCTCTTTCTCCCCAACATTCTCTCACTCAATCTCCCCAAAAATCTCTCTCTCCCAATCTCTCCTGATCCCTCACAATCTCTCTCATTCACTCTCTCTCATACACAATGTCTTTCTCAATATCTTTCATTGCCTCCCTCCCTCTCACCCATCTCCACCTCCCTCTCTGTCTCTTTTTCTCTCTCTCTCTCTCTTTCTCTCTCACATACACACACACACACACACACACACACGGCAGTGAACTCAAGGGTCTGGCCTCTAGGATGAGTACGGAACCGAGGGCCTCGCACGAAGGCACCTGTACACGTACCACCTGGGGCACAGGTGCACGCACTTGAGGTGTAGTGTGTACAGCATTTGTGTAACCTCCTGTTCTTGGGCCTGTATATCCCACCTGTAGCTCCTTCACCAGGCAACTGAGGCCTCACATGGACTTGCAAACCAATGGGGCACGGGGAGTCCTAAGTCAAAACCCTGAAGGCCAGGGTAGGGTCTGGCTCAGGCTATGGTACCAACCATATGCCAGACACCGTGGAGACAAGAGTGAACAGACAGACCCTGGCCCAGAAAGCTCACCATCTAGTGAGGGGACAGCCAGCCAGACAATAAGTACCCTTATTCTCTTGATACAGGAAAGTACAGGTAGAGGTGTCACCAGGTGCCGACATCAGGGGAGGTATCCAAGGGGCAGGCGAGTTTGGCAACCAAGGTCGGAGGGTCAGGGGCAATCCACCCGGCTGGCCTGGGTCTCACACTGCTTCCAGTCTCAGAAGCCATCAGGTCAGCGTAACTCCTGAAAATGGCCTGGAAGATGCCACTTTTGGAAAATGAAGAGCAGGGGCCCACCCAAAATTTTGGGTATTCAGTGAAGTGTAGTAACTGGGAGCCTCGCTTATGCACATAGCTGAGATCTGAAGGATCTGACCAGGAATTAAGGCATTGGGCAGGGAGTGCGCAGGCTCTGTAGTAACAGGGATGGTGGCAGTCACCAGGCCCGAGAGAAGGCAATACGGGGCCCTGGAGCCCAGAGAGAAAGGGCAAAGTGCGGCCAGAGGTGAGGCCACTGTCCCCCAGGGCCGTGTATTCCCTTGCCCCTGACTTCTGACAAAGTACGGCACGTGAGCTTGAAGGGGGGCTCCAGGCTGTGATGACTCCGTCCAGCTGGGCGGGGAAGCATGGCAACCAGGACGGAGCAGGTGTGAAGAGCAAGGGTGGCCACGGCTGGCAGACCAGGGGCCACCTCCAAGGCAGATACAAATGAAGAGAAAAGAGAAGGGCTGAATTGACAACAAGGAGAAACCAAGGGCGAAGCAGCTTTGACACTGGAAGCAAATAAGAGGGCAATCAGAATCTGCGCAATAACTGTCTGGAAAGCAAACCAGCGCAGCTCAAGAGGAAGAGAAAGGCAGAAACAGCCTCCCATTCCCGGAACTCACTCTCTCCTGCCCCGCTGAGATCACTTGCTCCAAGAAGCCACCCTGATCCTGTTGAAGTCCCCTTCTCCAGAGACACACACTTCCCCCACCTCAGGACAACCTCTGTATTTAAATACTTGGTTAACCAACACCAAACACCCCATGTACTTGCTTCCTCAGCCCACCAGGGGGCCCCCCAACCCCAGGCCTCAGCCCAGCCAGACCCACCTGCTGCCACCGCCCCTCCTACGCATCCCAGTGGGCACTCCCAGACAACGTTCTGGTTCCTACCGCCAGGCTCCCTCAGAGAACAACCCTACAAGCAAAAGGATCCCACATCTAACAGTGGGGAGAAGAGAGCACAAGAGCAGTAGCCAAGAGGAGGCGGTTCAGGTTCCCACAGGACCAAACGGACTTAAGTCAAAATATTCCATGAAAACCACTGCGATGGTTTATGGAGATGAGGGGTGTCCTGCCACAGGGACCACCCACAAGTGCAAACCCAACACCAGCCGTCAATAAGTCCATGTTTCCCCATGCTGACGTGTCTGTCAGAGAAAAAACTTCATCTACGTGTCGGCAAACCACATTTCATTAGGTCACCACTCTGAAGACACTGACACAAACAAAACCCCACACTACTCTACACTCTGAAAGGCAGACACATATTTTCAGATTTTAGAGGAATTTATACAAAAATAGTTAAACTACAATGTTTACCACCTGAAAACTAGCTATATGATACACAAATTGGACATCTGTGAGTTTCTTGTCATTTTCCTAAGAAATAACAACTGTGGGCCAAGTTCTTAGAAGAAAACTATATTCTTTTAAAGAAAACGAAAAACACTCTTGAAGGAAAAACTTAATTTAAGTCAAATCATATGCTTTTGTCGTGGAGCCCGATACACAGCACTTTCCCGCCACAGGTGCCTCCCTTGCCGGGGGGGCCGTGCCCCTCACAGTCTCTCCTGACCAAGACGGGTGCTGGAATTCTGCGGGAGAAGCTTCTTCCCCGGAAGCTGAAGGATCGGGGGTAGGAGGGGGCCAGTCCCCAAGCCAGAAGCCAGGGATGGGGACACGGGGCGGGATCATGGCTGAAAACACCCATCAGAATTCCAGTGGCCAAACCCCACAGTGACCACAAAGGCCAAAGGCTGGGCTCCTTTGCAGGGCCCCCTCCCCAGGGTGTCATTCCTCACCCCCTCCCATGACCCCACCCATACAAGGCACCTTCCCATCCACCAGCCCGTACACTGCACCGGTGCCCTCCACCAAGCCCTTGCCAGACCGCACCCTGGCCCGGGGAGCTCTGGGAGGGGTCCCAGGCCCCCTCTGAACAGGGAAACTGGCTACCGCCCTGAGGCCAGTGGGAGGAAGGCGGCTGTGTACCCCGCGCCCCCGCACGTGGTATCGGCCGTCTTCAGCCCCATAACCCACAGCCGGTGTGGGAGTGTGGGAGCCTGCCCCTGAGGCCGGGGGGGCACAAGGGGTCCCGCAACAGAGGCCAGTGATGGGGTGGGGTGGGAGGCAGGCAGAGCCAGGAAAGAGGGAAGCGGCTTGAGGAGGCACAGACGGTGAATAAATAGAAGTAGCTTCGCCTCGGGGCCGGCCCCTCGGACAGCAGCTGGGTGGCAAGTCGGGTGGGGCTGGGGTGGAAGGGCGGCAGCCGCGCCCACCCTGACACGAAGCTCCGACACTGACCTGGGCCACCCATCCGGCACGCGCGCGCACACACGCGTGCGCGCGCACACACACACACACCAGTGTCGGGCTCCTGGCCCTGCTCAGAGCTCAGTGACATGCACGGCAGGTGAGGGAAGGGGGCCCGGCCGGAGGCGCCGCAGGTGGCAGCGTCGGCAGAGCAGGTGGCCCTCCAGGGGGTAGCAGCGGCGTCCATCCTCCCCGCTCAGCTGCAGCCCGCAGTCCTAGGGAAGAACACAGCCCAACGCCCGAGTCAGCAAGGGGGAGCCTATTAGGGCACACCAGAGTAATGGGGGCAGATCTGCAGGGCTCTGTACAACTTCCAGAGGACTCTGGCTTTTACTCCTTGGCGGGGGGATGAGGTGCCCAGTGCTGGACGCACTGGACTGGAGACGCCTCTCAGACATCCAGAGCAGACAGTGAGAGAGGTAGTTGGACACGAGCCTGGAGTCGGGGAGAGAGGACTAGGCGGTAAATGGGGGCAGCGGCATAAAAATGTGATGGTTTTTACCAACGATACAACAGACTACGTCTCCCAGGGCGTGCAGATAACCAGAAAAGAGAAGAAGACAAACAGCTGAGCCGTGGAGGCTCCAACATGAAGAGGCAGAAAGAAGAGGACCTGAGTCAAGATTTCAGGGGGGGCTGGCCCTGAGGCTTAGCAGTTAAGTGCACGTGCCCCACTACTGGCAGCCCGGGTTCGGATCCAGATGTGCACCTACGCACCGCCTGTCGGCCATGCTGAGGCAGCGTCCCAAATACAGCAACTAGAGGGATGTGCAACTATGACATACATCTATCCATTGGGGCTTTGGGGAGAAAAGAGGGAAAAAAAGGAGGAGGATTGGCAATAGATGTTAGCCCAGGGCCAGTCTTCCTCAGCAAAAAGAGGAGGATTGGCATGGATGTTAGCTCAGGGCTGATCTTCCTCACAAAAAAAAAAAAAAAAAGATTTGAGGGGAAAATAAAAGTGAGGAAAACCAAAGATGGATGGTCCTAAGGGCACAGTGAAGAGCTCGAAGCAGGAGGACTGGGGGGAGTGGTCGGCATTCGCAAAGTTCCTGAGAGATTAGGTCAGCGACAAATGCGAGTGTCTCCCGGATCCCGCCCCATCGGGGTCACTGGGGACCTGAGGGGGAGAGGGGTCAAATGCCTGACCCCAGTGGTCTTAACAGATAATGGAAGAGAAGAATTAGAAACATCAAGTAAACACAGAGTTTTACTTTATGCCCCTTATCTTACCATTTACCATTGCGGGATCTTTTATAGGGTAATCTTCTCTAACAAGTTACGTGATTCATATTTGACCTCTGTGAGTAACTTACAGGAAGTGAAAGGCAGCCATGGAGGGTGCTGCCAGAGACAGTGGGGCACCGGGCGAGACCAGCTGAAGAAATTTTTCCTTCCTTTTGCCCCCTACCCCAAGGAGGCCCCTTTGGTCACACTCTCCCTGCATCCAGGGCTGGATTCTGGCCTTGAAGCTTTGACACTTGTTACCCAAAGGCCCTGAGATCAAGACCTGTCCCGCCCCACACAGTGACAGAGCTGGGCTGCTGCAACGGAGCCTCACGTCCCAAGTCGCTCAGTCCCAGGTGTCCTCCCTGTGCTGCCACAGCCTCAGACTGGGCCCTGCACTAACCACCACACACCAGAGAGAGGAGGAGTGAGGGGGCCTGGAGACCCTAGTTCCCGTCCAAGGGTCTCCCCAGGGGGCTCCAGCTGTGAACCACCCGCAGCTTGACCTGCTGGCCTCTCAGCAGCAACCTTTCCCTAACGACTGTGCTTAGCGATCCCAAGGGGACACCACGGTCCCCAGGACAGCAGAGCAGAATGCCCTGTTACTGTCAGAGGGGAACCACGGCCCCTCTGCAGGCCATGCCTGCTCCTGCTCCTCCCTCCCTGGTCCCCCAGCAGGACTCCTGTTCCCACTGGGCCACTTGCCCCCACCAAGGCACGCTGGTTCCAAACGGACCTTGATTCCTATTGGAGATTTCTTTTTTTGTGTGAGGAAGATCAGCCCTGAGCTAACATCCATGCTAATCCTCCTCTTTTTGCTGAGGAAGACCAGCTCTGAGCTAACATCTATTGCCAATCCTTTTCTTTCCTTTCCCCAAAGCCCCAGTAGATAGTTGCATGTCATAGTTGCACATCCTTCTAGTTGCTGTATGTGGGACGTGGACAGACAAGCAGTGCGTCGGTGCGCGCCCGGGATCCGAACCCGGGCTGCCAGTAGCGGAGCGCGTGCACTTAACCGCTAAGCCACGGGGCCGGCCCGGAGATTTCTTATTGACACTCCCTCCTGCTCTTCCCTGGGGCTCTGACACCAACATGCTCTTCTTGGTTTCTCCTACTTTCCTGTTCCCTCATTCTTGGCCTCCCTGTGTGACCTCCCATACATCCCCTAAATGCTGGTGCTCCTTGGGCTATCCTAAGCCCTGCTCCCTCCCCTACAGCTCTCCCTGGAAGACCTCATTTATTCCCCCAGCTTCCACAGCCATCTACACACCCACAGTGGGACTCCTGCTTCCAGCCATCATGGTACAAGGACTGAATTTCCTGTCCCACCTTTAACAATAAAAAAACAGGCAAAAATACATGAAACAATGGTTCTCTGAACAACAGGCAGGACAGGTCGGTGACCTCTGAGAGACGGGAAACTAATGAGGTGAGCCCTAACGTCGCCCCAAGTTACTACCTAGAGAGATTTTCCAGGCTGCCCAAAGAGGGCCCACTGGTCTCCTTGAATTGAGAACTCAGAGAGGCCAAGGCGACTAGAAACTGCATGGCAGAGTGTCAGCAAGGAGACAGCTACAGATGCCAATCACTCCCAAATTCCTGTCCCTGTAGCCAGAGTCTGAACTCCAGGACGTCCAGCTGCCGCCTGGACATCTCCATTCAGGGGTCTCCAGCTATAGAAAATGAGAGCATCTCGTCCCCTCCTCTTCTCACCCCATTCTCTCCTGGGTCCCAATGGACACCTCCCAACCCCCAAACTCCCACGTCCAATCCCTCACCAAATCCAGTCCCTTGTACTGCCTAACCCTCACTCAACTCATGTACCTCCCCAAACCCAGGACCACAGCCTTCACTCCACCAGCCTACTCAGGGAAGCCCAGCCCCATGCCCTCCTCCTCCACTCACTCTCTGCATGGCACATGGCAGCGAGTGCCCTTTCTAAAATCCAAATGCAGGGCCGGCCCTGTGGCTTAGTGGTTAAGTGTGCACGCTCCACTGCTGGCGGCCTGGGTTCGGATCCCAGGCGCGCACTGACGCACCGCTTCTCCGGCCATGCTGAGGCCGCGTCCCACATACAGCAACTAGAAGGATGTGCAGCTATGACATACAACTATCTACTGAGGCTTTGGGGGAAAATAAATAAATAAATAAAATTATAAAAAATAAAATAAATAAAATAAAATCCAAATGCCATCGCGTCGTCCCTTTCTGATCATTCTCCACTGCCCTCAGGATCAGTCCACACTCTGTAGCACAAGGGGCCTTCTGTCCCTAGCTCCTGCCAACCTCTCCAGTGACATAAAACAACACACTCACCTCCGCACCTAAGCACATTCTGCTTCCACTGCCTGGAAATGCCCTTCTCACTGCCTCCGTGGCTGACTCTTATTCATCTTTCAAATCTTAGCTTGGGCGTCACCTCCTCCAGAACACCTTCCCTGACTTTCCAAGGCCTCCTATGTGCTCTGACAACTCCCCTTGACAGCAATGATGACCCTGTGTAGATACTACCTGAGTATCTGTCTCTCCCATGACAGGAGGGACTGTCTTTATTCTCTGTACATCCCCAGCACCCCACGCACTGTAAATTCTCGGTGTGTATTTGACTGAATGAGAAACAGGGGTTGAGAGAAAATATATCTGGGGTAGAAGGGAGAGGGCTCACTGGAGAGGAGAGGTAGAATGGGGTAGAACCATGAAAGACCTGTGGGGAGAGGGCTGCCCCACGCACCAGCCTCCAGGAGGGCCCGGGCTCACCTCACAGTGATAACACTCCACGTGGTAGTCTCTGTCCATGGACACCACACGGATAGTCGTCTCACACCCCTGGAGGAAGACATGGAGTTCGCACACAATAAGCAAGCTGGGGTTTGAGATGAACTGTGCGCGGGGGACACACCCACACAACATGCTCTCTGGCGGATGTGCACTCACGCCCGTGCACTTCCATGGGGCCAGCACAGGCACTGGCAGGTGCACACAGATGGATGTGCATGTGTCAGTCACCCTCCCATGGCCGCAGCCGACAGCACACACACGTGTCCACCAGAGCCTCCCCGTGGGTGTCAGAGTGTGTACACATTCTTTTTGGTTCTTTGGAGTCAGGAAGACCCTGCGAGTCCTGCTTACCCACCAGCCTGGGACAGAACCAGCATGTGTGGGAAAGCCAGTACCCGAGGGACCTGCACCACCCCAGGATGTCTCCCGCAAGGCCCGCATCCTTTCTGCAACTGCTCCCCAGCCACCCCAGCCTGCAGGGCTAACACACCCAGGGAGCAGTCCTGACACCAACAGGCAACGGAGCTTAGGGCGGTGTGGGGCAGCCAGGCAGCGGGGGCCACATTTTCCGCTAACTCATGCAGGGCACCTGCACCCCGTGAGCCTGGGCACAACACATACCCCTTGGCCCTCAGGGACAGGGGGCAGGAGCACCTGCTCACTCCTCCCACTGGGGCCCAAGACCTGGGGCCGACCCGGGCAGGGCCGAGCACCTGAGCATCTCCAGGTGAGTGGTTCCTACCTGTGCAGGGAGGATAGGACGGGCACAGGAGGCACATTTTGGTGCAAAAACCCTGGAGGAATAAAGGAAACCAGAGGTGACCAGCTGAGTGACCAGAGGCCAAGGGTACAAGGACAGGTCCACCCACAGTAGCCTCATGACGTGGCCCGAGCATCAGGCCCCTTTCCTTGTGTGCACACGTTGACACTAGCCTTTTCTCTGGCTCCCCAATTCACCTCCACCCCGTCACCTCCTCCAGGATGGCTTCAGGTTCTGCCCTGCCCCCTCCCTCACGCTTCCTGAGAGCTCCTGGCCTCTTAATGTTCAGGTCTGGGCCACCCTTAGCTGAGACCCCTGCAAAGCCTGGCTCCACACTGAGTACCAGGGACCTATGCCGGCACCAACCCCATGCAAGGCAGCGGCACAGGACCAGAGCTCTGAGGGCTGTGCCTGGAGCCACAGCAAGGGAGTATGGATTGGCTGCCCACATGGGTACAACACAGGCAGGAAAAAGACATTGCAGAGACTCCAAGCCCCCATCCCAGGCAGAAGGGGCCCGACCGGGCCCTGAGAGCAGAGGGATAGATGCTGGGAGGGGCAGCCAGGAGAGTCCCCACCATTAGGAGAAGGTGAACACACAGGCAAAGCAGGGGAGAGGAGAGCAAAGACATGGCTGGTAGCTGAAGCACCTGAGACAGAGACCCAAGGCAGAGATCTGTGTCTGCCCCAACCTCTGAGAGCACAAGGCAGGCCAGGAAAATGCTTCCAGGGAGGCAGAAGAAACAGCAGGTGTCACACCTGCTCCACGGCGCCCGCTACTCACGTGTGATAGTCTCTGACACAGTAGATGTTGTTCTCCACATCCACAGTGAAGGGCACCCCGTCCAGGCACTCATTGCACACGGAGCACCGGAAGCAGCCTGGGTGGTAGGACTTCCCGAGAGCCTGCAAGATCTGGGGGTGGGAGGGACTGAGGGGTCACTGCAGCTGGAAGGCTCAGCACAGCCCCCAGAAGGGGCTCTGACTCTGAGCCCCCAGGGGGTCTGCAACAGGTGAAAGGGCGGGGGGCCATCAGACTCCGCCTGTGTCAGAGGGGCTCCCAGAGCCTGAGGAGGTTCTCACCATCTCCATGATGAGGTGTCCACACACGCTACACTTGTCAGCCGTTTGCTGGAACCCGGAGTACTGGGAGGGGACACAGGATCCAGGATGTTACGTGACAAAGGGGCACTCACTGCCCAGCCAGCACCTGCCTCCTGGCCTCAGGTGTCCACGTGAATTAGAAGGAGGGTGCCCGCCCCTGTTCCCACCCATGGCATCAGCCAGGGCACAGCTTTGACTCACCAGGAAGTCCTCCTGGCAGTACACTTTCTCACCCACATTGTAGAACGCCTTCCCTCGAAGTCGTCTCCCTGCAAGGACAAGGGTCAAGAAGGGGCTCCCTGGGCCACTGGAAACCAGGGATGGGGGCCCTGCTGCCACTTCTCAGCACCCTCCTCCAACAGATGAGAAGTGGATTACAGATGGATTTTAAAATCTCCCTTTAATGTTGTTATTTTCAGACATTAATATTTTTTTAAAAACTAAACAAAATATACTGTCGACAGAACTGTTGTAAAAGGTTATCAAAGCAAATATACGAAGTACTGTTTTTCACATGTAAATTGATGTTTGGATTAATTTAAAAAAAACACATTTGCTTTAAGTTCAGTTGAATCCAGAGCAGACTTTTCAGAATGAAATTTCTTAATCCATGAAGATTAGAAGTACAACTCTCACCAGGTGAAGGAGCCCAATATGAAAGAGGCGTCCCTTATTCCAGGGATGCAGGGATGGTTCAACATCCGCAAATCAGTCACTGTGATGGACCACATTAACAAAATGAAGGATGAAAATCATATGATCATCTCAACAGATGCAGAAAAAGCATTTGAAAAAATTCAACATCCATTTATGATAAAAACTCCCAACAAAGTCAGTATAGGGGGAATGTACCTCAACATAATAAAGGCCATCTATGACAAGCCCACAGCTAACACTATATTCAACAGTGAAAGCCTGAAAGCTTTTCCTCTAAGATCAAGAACAAGACAAGGATGCCCACTCTCGCCACGTTCATTTAAAATAGTTTTCGAAGTCCTAGCCACAGCAATTAGGCAAGAAAAAGAAATAAAAGGCATCCAAATTGGAAAGGAAGAAGTAAAACTGTGACTACTTGCAGATGACATGATATTATATATAGAAAATCCTAAAGACTCCATCAAAAGATTGGTAGAACTAATAAAGAAATTCAGTTAAGTTGCAGGATACAAAATCTGTTGCATTTTTTACACTAATAACAAACTATCAGAGAAATTAAGAAAACAATCCCATTTACAACTGCATCAAAAAGAATAAAATACCTAAGAATAAACTTAACCAAGGAGATGAAAGACCCATACCCTGAAAACTATAAAACACTGATGGAAGAAATTGAAGAAGACACAAAGAAATGGAAAGATATTCCCTGCTCACGGACTGGAAGAATTAATATTGTTAAAATGTCTATACTGCCCAAAGCAATATACAGATTCAGTGCAATCCCTATCAAAATTCCAATGGTTCCAACAAACCTGAAATCAACAATCCAAAGAGGCTTATGCACCCCTATGTTCATTGCAGCATTATTCACTATAGCCAAGAAGTGGAAGCAACCTAAGTGTCCCTCACCTGATGACTGGATCAAGAAGATGTGGTATATACATACAACGGAATACTACTCAGCCATAAAAAAAACACAAAATTGTCCCATTTGCAACAACATGGATGGGCCTGGAGGGTATTAGGTTAAGTGAAATAAGCCAGAAAGAGAAAGACAAACACTGTGTGATCTCACTCACATGTGGAATACAAACCAATACATGGACAGAGAAAACTGTACTGTGGTTACCAGGGGCAATGGGGGTAGGGGGTGGGCACAAGGGGTGAAGGGAGACATATATATGGTGATGGAAAAACAAAAATGTACAACCCAAAATTTCATAATGTTAGAAACTATTAAAACATCAATAAAAAAATTCCAATGGTATTGTTCACAGAAATAGAACACACAATCCTAAAATTTCTATGAAACCACAAAAGATCCCAAACAGCCAAAGTAATCTTAGGAAAGAACAAAGCTGTAGGTATCATGTTCCCTGATTTCAAACTATATTATACAGCTATAGTAATGAAAACAGTATGGTATTAACATAAAAACAGACACATAGATCAATGGAATAGAACAGAAAGCCCACAAACAAACCCACATATATATGGCCAATTACTTTATGACAAAGGAGCCAAGAATATACAATGGGGAAAGGATAGTCTCTTTAATAAATGGTGCTGGGAAAACTGGATAGCCACATGCAAAAGAATGAAACTGGACCCCTATCATACACCACACACAAAAATTAACTCAAAATGGATTAAAGACTTCAATGCAAGACCTGAAACCATAAAACTCCTAGAAGAAAACACAGGAGAAAAGCTTCATGACATTGGTCTTGGCAATGATTTTTTTTGAATCTGACACCAAAAGCAAAAGCCACAAAAGCAAAAATAAACAAGTTAAGACTACATGAGGGCCGGCCCTGTGGCTTGGTGGTTAAGTGCGCGCGCTGCGATGCTGGTGGCCCGGGTTCGGATCCCGGGTGCGCATCGAGGCACCACTTCTCCGTTCATCCTGAGGCCGAGTCCCGCATGCAGCAACTAGAAGGATGTGCAGCTACGACATACAACTATCCACTGGGGCTTTGGGGGGAAAAAATAAAATAAAATAAAATCTTTAAAAAAAAAAAAAAAAAAAAGACTACATGAAACTAAAAAGCTTCTGGACAGCAAAGGAAACCATCAACAAAATGAAAAGGCAACCTACGGGATGGGAGGAAATAATTGCAAGCCATATATGTGACAAGGGGTTCATATCCACAATATATAAGGAACTCATACAAATCAAGAGCAAAAAAACAAACAATCTGATTAAAAAATGGGCAGAAGATCTGAATAGACATTTTTCCCAGGAAGACATACAGATAGCCAAAAGATACATGAAAAGATGTTCAACATCACTAATCATCAGCAAAATGCAAATCAAAACCACCATGAGATATCACCTCACATCCATCAGAATGGCTATTATCAAAAAGACAAGAAATAACGAGTGTCGGAGAGGATGTGGAGAAAGGGGAACCCTTGTGCACCACTGGTGGGAATGTAAACTGGTGCAGCCACTATGAAAATAGTATGGAGGGTCCTCAAAAAATTAAAAACAGAACTACCATATGATCCAGTGATTCCACTTCTGGGTATTTATCCGAAGAAATCAAAAGACTAATTCGAAAAAACATCTGCACCTCCATGTTCACTGCGGCATTATTTACAATAGCCACGATACAGAAACAACCTAAGTGTCCATCGATGGATGAACGGATAAAGAGACTGTGGTGTATATATACAATAATATATTATTCAGCCATAAAAAAGAATGAAATCTTGCCATTTGTGACAACATGGATGGACCTCAAAGGCATTATACTAAGTGAAATAAGTCAGTCGGAGAAAGACAAATACCATATGATCTCTCTTATATGTGGAATCTAAAAAAAAAAAAGCTCATAGATACAGAGAACAGACTGGTGGTTGCAAGAGGCGGGGGCTGGGGTGTGGGAGAAATAGGTAGGTGAACTGTTTGGGTTTTTTTAGATTAAATAAATTGAACAAAAACTTAAAAAGAGGCGTCCTTGTCAAAACAACAGCCCCAGCAGACCTGGCAGCAGCCGTGAGAGGTGTTCCCATTAGGATCAGGAGAAAGATGACAACGCCTAACTAGTAACAAGAGGGAACCTCCTCCACTCAAGATGTCATGAAGGGCATCTATGCAAACCCCGCAGCTAACATCAGCATAATGGCGAAATAGTCAATGCTTTTCCCCTTAGGATTCAACATTGTACTAGAAGTCCCAAACAGTGCAATAAGACAGGTGAAAAAAATAAACGATTGCAAAGGAAGAAGTAAAACTATCTTTAAACACAGATGACATTATTGTGTTACGCAGAAAATCATAAGTAATCTGCAAAAAAACTACTAGAACTAATAAGTGAGTTTAGCAAGGTTGTAAGATAGGTGATCAGCATATGAAAGCCAAATATATTTTTATATTCTAGCAACAAATGATTGGAAAATGAACTTAGAATTTTTTAAATTGCATTTATAATAGCATCCAAAAAACCCATAAAATACTCAGGGATAAATTTAATGAAAGATGCATCTGATCTTACTCTGCAAAATCAAACTTCACCGAGAGAAATTTTAAAAGACCTATATAGAGACCATTGCTGGAAGACAGTTCTCCATCGGCTCTCTCTCATTTCTGCACATCTTACAAACAGAGGGCTGGCAGCTTTCGTTCTGGATTATCTTTCCAAGGACGTTTGTGGAGCAAACTGCTTAGAAGACAGAGAGAGCACCTGTCTCTGAAGCAGACGGCAGGTTTGTCTGCCATCCAGTACAATAAAGATAATGTGTTTCTCCAGGAGAGGGGTCAGATAGCTTTGCTGGCAACTCATTATAAAATATTGCGGTTCCCTAAGCCCAGGGCTCCTCAGCCCTGACATACACGCACTGCGCGTGCAGCATCCACTTAGACCACTCCCTGTCACCCCCGTGGTACTCAGGATGGCATGCAGGCCAGATGCAAACATGAAGCTCATGCTGTTTGCAGCGCTATGAGTATCTGCCCCAGGAGGATCATGTCTTCAGGAAGCATCTGTGAAAACGGTGGCTGGCTGACTTGTCAGCTTGCAAGTAGGGAAAAATCTCAGACCTCGCACAGTTCGTGACAACCATCTTCATGGCTTCAAATGTTCTGATATCAGTTCTCATCAAACTAGATCTGATCTATACATTCAATGCTACCCAATCAAGATCCCAACACTCTTTTTTGTGTGTGTATGGAAACTGATGTGCCAATTTTAAAATTTATATAAAAATACAAAGAACCTAGAATAGCCAAAATAATCTTGAAAAAGATCAGCAAAGCCAGAAGACTTACACTATCTATTTTAAGACTTACAGTAATCCAGACAGTGCAATATTGGGGTAAGGAGAGACAACAAGATCAGTGGAACAGAATAGAGTCCAAAATAGACCCCTAAATATTTCAACAAATGCACAAGTGGAAAAGCAGAGTCTTTTCAGCCCATGTGCTGGAACAACTTGATAGCCAAATGGAAAAAAATGAAACTCAATTCCTTACTTCATACTGTACACAAAAAATTAATATGAAATGGGTTATCAAGCTGAACGTAAAAATGAGAAACCTAAAGCTTCTAGAAAAAAACACAGGAGACTATCTTCATGACTTAATGGGGGATAAAAATTTTTTAAGTCA